GTTTACAGCCAGAGTCTGTTGGAAAGGAAATAAGCGCAGAGAGATTCAGATGAACTTATTTACTTTAAAGGGATATTGACCTGTGTAAGCGCTCTGTAAAATATTAAACTCTCACTGGAAAATAAAATAGTGTTTATGCTATAGCTAAAATAATCTAAGTAAACTGGTGTATATATTGTCTTTCAGTTGACCTTATATTGAAAGATCTGTGTTATGTTAGGCAGTGAACTCTTGTGTCATGCTGGATAATGAACCTTTTCCATGTAAGAGTAAAGCACATTGTCAGGGTTCAGTGAGCCGTCCTTCAGCTGCTGTGTCAGCTCAGACAGGGAGAGCTTCAGGATCAAAGCAGAGTCAGTCGTGGGATGCTAGAAGACACAGAACCACACAGAATCATTATGTTATAAAAATTTATAAAGCTGTAAGAAAGAAAGAAAACCATATCAGTGTATAGATTCAGGACTCCTACTTCCCGTACTTCTGCACAATTGTAAAGTATAGAAGTAAATTTAAATCTAATTTGATATACAAAGAGGTGTTTACAAAGGTTATAAAGCTCGTTTTGTAGCTATTTGGTGGTTACGTGTTTTGATATTTACAGGTTTACACGTTTGAATGTTTAGACATGCATGTTCAAACCAGTAATAAGTATGTGTTATATCTACCTAGTTGTTTTCCCTGTTCTGATCTGAGTTTAAGATTTGAGAGGCCAGTGAAGTATTCATGAGGGTGGTACACAGGAAGTGTGGGTTGTTGTTGCTGTGTGCTGAGAGTAAAGAGGCTGAACAGCAATAAGAGAATACGTAGTTTATTCCAAGAAGATATCGTCTCTCTCCCTTATATAATATTTTATTGGAACCGATATGTTCCAGATATCAAGTGGAAGACAGTCTGGATGATCCCCCATAAATATTTGATTGTAAATAAGGTGAAAGAAGTCTCATTTAAAATTCTACATAAATGTTATCCAGCCAGTCACTACATGGTAAAATTTAAAAGGGACATAAATACTAATTGTACTTTCTGTGGGGATCATCCAGAAACTGTGACACATCTTTTTTGGTACTGTTCTTTTACACAGATTCTGGAAGGAATTTAGAAGTTTTGTTATTGTCCATATTTTAAGGGAGTTTTCTTTACGATGGGAAAATGTTCTATTCTGTTTCTTTAAGTTCCCCAAGAAGAATGATAAATGTTTTTATGATAAATTTGTTAATACTTTTAGCTAAACTTTTTATCCATAAATGTAAGTTACTAACAAAACACCATATTTCTGCCATTTTTTTTTTTAAGGATGTGGAAATGTACATACAATCAATATCAGACTCCACCAACAAAAAGGCTCTCAAAACAATATGT